CAGCCACATAATCAACAGAAGAAAGACCTCTTTGAGGTCCCTATTCCAGAACCTAAGCACTAAACCCCAGTGGTGAGATTCAAATTTTTTTACTAATAGTTCTTTGAGCATGGCTTGGTGGGCATGGCGGGGAAAGATACTGTAAAATCTCCAGTCAAGGTGGTATTTGCCGGTTCCCCGAACTACTCAAAATTTCTGCTACCGGTTCTCCAGAACTGGTCAGAACCTGCTGAATACCAACTCTGCTAAGCCTCCAGTATTAGAAAATATTCTCCCTCGGTATGAGTTTAGCTGTCCCAAAGCAGCCACATATGGCACATTTTGCAAAAGAGATGGAATTGTCATCTCTGGACAGAAGCTGTTGTCCTGGTGGGAGTATGGGCCATAGACCTTTTCTTGATGGCAGGAATGCACATTGTGTTCTCTACCAGCCCTCCACCGACTGGGAAGGCAACCTCTGACCATCGTTTTCTGCTACGTGTCAAAAGCAATGTTTTTTTTTTTTACTTCTGGCAGCACACATGGCAGGTGTCCTGCTGTGATCTGTTTCATGTAGGCAAATTGGATACCGTAAAGTGTGGTAGGAATGTTGGCCACTGCCTTCTACTGTTGTTTTGCTTTTTAAATCATTTTCATTGAGGAACTGTACAAGGTGGGCGCCACACCAACCAGTCTTTCTCTTCTTTTAATCAGGAGAAACAGACCAGAATTCTGCCAAGAACTGGACTATTTAAAGAAGGATTAGGGGTGACATGATGGCAGTCTTCCAATATTTGAGGGGCTGCCACAAAGAAGAGGGGCTCAATTCTTTAAAGTATCTAAAGGCAAGACAAGAAGCACAAGATGGAAGCTAATCGAAGAGAGAACCAATGTAGAACTAAGGAGAAATTTCCTGACAGTTAGAATTAACCCTTCCAGTTAGAATTAATCATTCCAGTTAGTCAGTAGAATGGCTGGCCTCCAAAAGTTGTGGGTGTTCCATCACAGGATCTTTTGCTTGAGCAGAGGGTTAGACTAAAAGACCTCTCAGGTCCCTGCCAATTCTGTTACTCTGTTAAAATACAAATCAATCAACATGTTTTCCCTTTCAACTCATGTCACAGGAAACCCATGTCAATGGAAAAGAGGGGGAGCTATGTTGTTATTTTTAACCATCCATCAGTAAGTGCACCAAAAGGAAAGATGGCAGACAGAAGACAATAGAGAAGGCTCATACAAACATCTGTCCATAGAAACCACATGATCAATGGAAAAAAATGGAACCAGGGTAAACACAATCTGGATAGAAGATCAGGAGATCAGCATGACCAAATCAGAAGAAGAAACAAAAGGCAGAAGAGGATATCCTAAGCTGGCTTAGTTTCCAACCAGTATACTCTGCAGCTTAAGGCAGCAATGTGGAAAAGCCCACAATCATATTCAGAAGAGCAGACTCTAAGCAGCTTGTTTATCTGGATTATATCACTGCATTCTGAACTGCAAAACTCCGGACATAGTGAAGGATGCTTCATTCCCAGGTCTTGTTAGAAGCCTTCAAATTTGCCTCTACCAAGGGGAGAGTAATTAACACCAAGGATGTCATGTTACATGAAATGTTTGCTGGCACCATCAAACAATGACGCTTTCGCCATTTTTTCAGGGAATAAGAATGTCTCTATCCAAAGGCTCTCAGAAGAGAGAAAGCCAAGACTCCCTAAGGAATAGACCACCAAGAAAGCCGATTCTTTTCCCTTGTATCTTTTTATTGGAGTCACCAAACCATCATGCTGTCCACAATGAGTACACTACACAAGAGGGGAAGGAGGACAATGTGGTTGGGGCCCTACGTAAAAGAGTTTTTTTTTTTTTGTAAGAAACAAAGAATTGCTCTTTTTCTCTTTTTCCCTCTTTCTCTTGCCCCCACTCAAAAAATTGCCGTAAGTTTTTTTTTAAGAACACAAAGGGATCAGAACAAGTCAGAGAACTGTTTTTTCACAGAGAACCGTTTTTCATAATCAAAATGATAGGTCCTTTATAATATCCATAAGAGTACACTGTAAGGCTTCTGACCCAAGACTCAGCCGTTTTGAAAATTTAAATTCAGTACCAAAAACCTTTGTTGATAAATTACACCCCCTCCCCTCCCTGAGGGAAAAAATGCTTTACTAACACTGTTTTTGTTCACAAAGGGTCTGCTATGAATAGAGAGATACCCAGGCACCATGTAGGGAAAGGAGCTGGAATATGGCTCCCCAGCTTCTTCTGGAGAGGAAGAAACAGCCCAGATCATTTATGTGACTCGCTGTCTCTTGGGCCAGCAAGGACTCAGCAGTGGAGGGCTGCCTCCGATTTTTGAAATGTTGCTTCTCTTCAAAGTAACCCTACCTAGCGCTATGCAAAGGCAGTTCCACAATGCTGAGCGTCATCGAGCAGCATAAATAGCAAGCACAAGTGAATGTGGAGATTGGGAGGGCACAGATTTCAAACATACTTGGCTCTCCCTCTCTATTTTCCGCACACCCATTCCAAATGCCTTAAGCTTTTGGGTCCCAGGCTGCTTCTTTTTGTCTGCAAAAGATCTTTTAGTCACATTCTGGCTAAGTCTGCTGGTTTTTTTCACCACCCCTTTATTTTATTTTATTTTATTTTATTGCCCAAGAAGAAACCTCATCAACTGGATTTCACTGAAGTCAGGTTTGATTCTAGATTTTTATATGTTTACTTTATTTGCTGTTTTCTCCCCTTATTTTGGGCAACCCCTTGAAATGTGGATGGTTTACCTGACTGAATGACTGACTGAGATGAAAGATAGATTTCTAAGTAGCTTGAAAAAATGTGTGATGTGCTTGGGTTAATGTAAAATGTAAAGCTCAGCTATATCCAGTGTCTGCTGAGGTGTTTCTCTAGACCTTCCCGGGCATGCTGAAAATTTGATTTGACAAACTGATTCAGTTGTAAAATCAGTTCAGCACAGTGAGTTGCTCTGCTCTCGTGGTGGGAGGGAAGGGGAATTGTTGCTTGGATCTTTTTAATCTTTCTCCAAACTGACCAAAGTGATACAGTAAACCTAGAATCGTTTTGGCAGAATACCAATGCTATAATACTTGAGGTCAAAAGAGTCATAAACTTAAATACATTTAACATACAGGAGGGTGAAGATGTGATTGCTGCTGTTGTTTTAAAAGCAAATAGAGAAGAACGTACTGGCAGGGTGAGAATTGTTGGGCCTAAACAGGGAATTAATTAATTCTTCCATAAATCTCCCTCTGAAATTAATATTGCTTTGGGAATAGATCTTACAGTATTATCCACATCCCCATTTAGTTATTTATTTATATTAATCAGTTGTCTGATTTATTACCCCCTGTGTGTATGTGTGTGTGTGTGTGTGTGTGGTGTGATCCTATAAGTCAGCATTTGCAAGGTGAATTTTATTGGGCATTCAATCAAGTCCTTGCAAATTTGCATGGAAGCCATACAGCAAATAAATGAATACTGTGAGGTAAGCTAGGCTGAGAGAGATTAACAGCCAATCAATTTCATGGAGCTGAAGCTTTCAGGTCTCAAGATAACAAATTATTCAAATGAACTCCAGGCAGATTATCATAATTGTATGGAATTTACTGTCATAAAATTTGCTGATAGCCTCTAGGTCAGTAGGTTTGCAAGACCAAACAAATTTGTGGAAGGTAATTTCTAAGGGCTGATAGAGAGCAAGCTGCAATTGTACCCCATTGCTACTGCAACAGTGCTGAGTGGAACATGGATTTTAAACACAGTTACTATGATTTTGAATTGCTTTAAAAATAACAATAGGTTGCCCCAGACATGCCATATTTCATACCATACAGATATTATGAATTACTGATGTTTATAATGTGCTGTCAATGTACATAGCATTTTATAAGGATCAGATATGATAAACCCAGCTCCCCAAGGAGCTTACACTCTAAAATCGATAGATCTAAGATCTAAATAGATCTAAGAAAATAGAAGGAAGAGAGAAACTGAAGAATGAATAAGCAAAGGAAAAATCTTTTTGTTGCATACAGTATATCTTGATAGAGCTGCATATTAGAATACAGAACTATTTTAAAAGTTCCCTGAAAAGGTGGGTTTTGAACAGGGGCTTAAAAGGAAATAAAACTGGTGGTCATGTGGCAGAATCCTGAAGGAGAGTTGACATATCATTTATCAAGCAGTAAAGGAAAAAGTGAGGAGTCATAGGAAGGAGCAGAAAATGTTTAGAGGAATGTAAGAGGTAAGAAGGTAAGAATAAGGACATCAGAGATTTTGAAGATAAGGACAGAACTCTTTTTGTGAGATTCAAAAGAGAAAGCAAAACAAAGCAGGAGGAAGGTGTGTAGTCAGATCTGAATGATGTGGTTAATTCTGGCAGTGTCATACCAGAAATGAGACCAGGGAAAACTTGAGTAGCGCCATATCTAGTTATATCCTTAGCCACAAAGAAATTGTATTTGCAGTTAATTCACTAATAGACTGAGTTAATGTTTACAAAATGCCATTTAGGTTTCTTTTACTAAAATATAATGGTGGCTATAATAATTAGACTTGTTCATTCCGGCTATATAGATGTGGAGCAGTGATTCTAGAGGCAAATGCTTTAGAACCCAGTAAAGCTGTTCTTTTTTTCTATTAAAGATAGCTGGATGGCCAGAGCTGGATGAACAATAAATTGAAAAAAAAAAAAAGGTTAAAGCAAACAAACATCCCCTCTCCGTTCCCCCCCCACCCCCACACAAAAAACTGTCAACTACTAATAAGCCTGGGAAATAAAGCCTAACAAACAAAAAAGCTATAGCACTGCATTATTCTGCCTTACAGTGTCTTTTCTGCCCTTTCTCTAGAATAAATACAAGGCTGAAGATCACAGATGTTTCTGACATTTCAACATAAATTAATCTCAGCTACACGGTACTTCCTTCCTTCTTCTCTTCGAAGAGTCAAATATTGCTTGCTGTTGATTGCTCAAGGCATGTAAAGCTAGAACTTTTATGAGAATGGATGGCACCATCTCCTCCACCATTAGAGTGGCCACAGACACAGAAACTGGCAGTCTGCTCAGGAGTAACCCTAATATTTCTTCCAACAACACATGGGGTGAGGCCTTCTCTGCCAGCTCTTTGGAGGACATTGTAGCTACCTGCACCATTGGGACCATCCTGTCTCTTATGTGCGTAATTGGGGTGACAGGCAATGTCTACACCTTGGTTGTGATGTGCCATTGCATGAGGTCCTCTGCCTCCATGTACATCTACATCATCAACTTGGCCCTAGCAGACCTGCTCTACCTTCTCACTATCCCTTTCATTGTGGGGACTTATTTCGTTCAGGAATGGTACTTTGGAGATACAGGTTGCCGAATCCTTTTCAGCTTGGATTTCCTCACTATGCATGCTAGCATTTTCACCTTGATGGTGATGAGCACAGAGAGATACTTTGCGGTGTTGAAACCTTTGGACACTGTGAAGAGGTCAAAGAGTTATCGGAAAGCGATTGCCCTCATTATCTGGGTAGCATCTCTGCTTCTCACTCTGCCAATGCTGATCATGATCCAGCTGGTACAAGGGGAAAAGGATATCTGTCTCCCCACCTGGAGCAAATTGTCTTACAAGATCTACATCACCATTCTCTTCTGCACCAGCATTGTTGGCCCTGGTGTCGTCATTGGGTATCTCTACGTTAGACTAGCAAGAACCTACTGGGTGTCCCAGACCACTTCCTTGAAAGAGACCAAGCGGCTACCCAACCAAAAAGTCCTCTACTTAATCTTCACGATTGTGCTGGTCTTCTGGGCCTGCTTCTTGCCATTCTGGATCTGGCAGCTGATCTTCCAGTACTACGAGCCTCTTCCCATGTCTCCTAAAGCCACTAGGAATGTCAACTACCTGACCACCTGCCTGACCTACAGCAACAGTTGCATCAACCCTTTCCTCTACACCTTACTGACCAAGAACTACAAAGAATATTTGAGGAACAGGCAGCGTTCTTTTCACAGCAGCCGCAACTACTTCCAGAGAAGGAACCGATTTCAAAGGATTTCCGGGAGATCTTTGTCAACAACCAGCCAGCATTGTACAGAGACTTTTATGCTTCCACCCATTCCAGGGGGAAGTAATAGCCCATGATGAAAGAAGCACACTTCCGAAATCAACTGTCATCAAAGTCAGAAGAAGAAAGCAAGCATTACATTTGAAAGGGAGGGATTGTAGAAGAGATACATGCTGGGTTTAGAGTTTTGATGATTTGTCATCATAGTAAATCAGGGGGAAAAAAGCTTTTGTGTTTCATACAACCCGTGATATGTCACTGTAAGTTTTGCTTCTTGAAATTTTATTATTCATATTGTGAACAGTATTCACTAAGCAGAATTATTTGGGAGATAAAGGTATGAATAAAAAAAAATGTGTTAATTTGTTTTATGGTTCAGCTGGAAGGCAGGTAGCAATTTTGTGGAAATCGAATTTGAGGGAAATGTTTGACTTTCTACTGAATTCGTATCAGCTAAATTCATATATAGGGACTAAAAACTTGGGTACATATTGTCCAGTAGATTTCTCAGGACTGACAGTTGTGAGTTTGTGGATAAAACCACTTTATGCACACCTACACATTCAAATCTGTTTGCCTTTACCCCTAGCACATTCTTCACTGATAATGTCAAGCGTCGTTCTCTGTGCTTCAAAAATAATTCCAAATATATAATTTGCACCTGAGGAAAAAGTGCTGTGACTGCTTTATGGAACTGAATCATTAATGTTAATATGAATCTTAAAGCAATCCCTCTTTCTTCCCCACAAATGTTTCATCTTCCCTCTCAGGGGTCATTTTAATAAATAGTAGAACAGTCCAAAACACTTCTTCCAAAGCTTTTTTTTTTTTAAAGATGCACAGCTCTAGTGTCAAATATTGTGTGGCAATATTATAAATACAGGCATTTAGTTCTGAACTTATAACCACAACCACAATCAAGCCCAAAATTTTTGTTGCTAAGCAAGACATTTATTAAGTGAATTTTGTCCCATTTTATGACCTTTCTTGCCACAGTTGTTAAGTGAATCAATGCAGTTGTTAAGATAGTAACACAATTGTTAAATGAATATAGCTCCCCCATTGACTCTGCTTGTCAGAAGATCACAAAAGGGGACCACGTGACCCTGGGACACTGCGACTCATAAATATGAGTCAGTTGCCAAGCATCTGAGTTTCAATCATGTGACAGTGGGGCTGCTGCAATGGTCATAAGTGTAAAAAATGGTCATAAGTGACTTTTTTCAGTGCCATTATAACCTCAAATGGTCATTAAATGAACTGTTGTAAGTTGAGGACTACCTGAAGATGACATAAACAAAAAATAAAGATTGTTCAATGAAAATAACTCAAAGAGAATATAATATAGCATCTCTGCAGTAATAAAGCTGCTGTGTAGCATTTGTTTGTTAACATAAACAAGAATTAAAGCAGGTTCTTTAAGAGCCATGCTTCATGGCTGGACAGAAAGTTTCAGTAAGAAGTGTCTGTGCAAACCCTATTCATTTCTTTGAAACCCTATTCATTCGTTCATCTATGAGATCCAGCATTTTGGGGCACAAAACATTTTACAAAGCAACCTATAATATTGTCATCGCTACATAAATAGTGGGGTTTTTTTAAAAAAACTTTTTGCTCTTAGGACCGACCACTTGCTACTTTTAAAAGTTATGCAGGACTTCCAAAAGAGCTTTGGTAATATTTATATTTTCCATATATTATAAATTGAAATTGATGCATTCATGGAATATTTATTAATTAATCCATGTAAAAATAACTGTATTAAACTCATTAGATGTTAACATAAATAAAATATTGATCATAAAAAGCCCTATATATTTTAACAAATTTAAAAAAGAGAGAGAGAAGAGTGCCATTGTTTTAAAGGTTTGTATCTTCAATAGTTGCCAAATAATTTTGATTTCAAGGACCCTTGAGGGGTGTGTTTGGGGAACTCCAAAAAACATAGCCATAAGCACTTTAATACTAGTATTCTTATCCTGTGATTTTAAAAAAACCCAATATCCTAAGTAATCTGTAGCAATGCTGTGAGAGAATTATGGCATTTTGAAATTGTGACATTTTTGCAATGTTTCTCATTTAACTGAAGGTGTGCTTTGCATCTTTTTTTTTTTTAGCGGGAGTTTTGTTCTAATACTTTTACCTTGCCAGGTTCTACAAGTCAATGCACAGCAGGGCCATTACTGTGTTTTTTTTTTTTTACTTCATGCGAAATATAGATATTGCCTCATTAGGAACAACAGTCATCTCCAGTATGACATGGAAAGTGATTTTCTAGTTTTTTCTCCATGCAGCAGGAGAAACCTTGAGATTTTTTTGGTCAGGAAGCAAGGGGGGCATTTGCTGGTTTTCAATATTATAAAATTGGAGCGGAGGGATCAGTGGTGGGATTCAATTTTTTTTTACTACTGGTTCTGTGGGTGTGGCTTGGTGGGCGTGGCAGGGGAAGGATGCTGTAAAGTTTCCAGTCAAAAGTGGTAGTTTGCCAGTTCTCCAAACTACTCAAAATTTCCGCTACTGGTTCTCCAGAACTGGTCAGAACCTGCTGAATACCACCTGGGAGGGGGAAGTGGGGGGGAGTGATTATCCCATTACTAGTAACTAGAAAATCTCGAGTCCAGAACAATACATGCCTTTACCAAGCATAATCAACTAGGACAGCACAAGTTCTTTTTTAAAAAAAAATCCTTCCCTTCCTCGTTTTCCCTTTATGTTAGTTTGTAATTAAATGTTTGTTTCTGAAATTTAATAAAGATATTTAAAATAAAAAGATGCTATTCCCTTTTAAAACCTCTATTACCCCTTCCGCTCTCTAGTTCAAAAGAAAACTAATATGGCTGTGAATGTATACACATGAGGAGAAAACAGAGTCCAAATCAGCCGTGTAAAGCTAGACAGAGACACAGCTGCTTTCATCATTTAAACAAGGGCCTTGTATACATTCCCCCACACTGCAAAGCTTCACTCCACTCACTAGATTTGTACAGCACTGTAACAGAGGAAACTCATTATTTTCCTAGAGTTTATGAGAGCTATCCAGCTCCTCCCAATGGCAAGTTACAAAAAATCCTAATTTATATTCATGCATACTTATTACCTGGATTTCAGCTGCACATAAACATGCAGGGTATTGTGGTGTCCAACAAAAAGAAAAAGAAAAAAGAAAAATCTGATACTTTAGAGACTACAACCAAAATTTTGAAGAAAAATTTTGTTTTGCTTTTTCGTTTTCCTTTTCAGTAAGGGTAATTTGAAGGAATTAATTCCAAAATATATTTTTCTAAATCAGGGTATTATAGAAAAGAGAACAGTTAGGAGAAAAACCAAAATTAGCCAAGCCTAAAAGAGAGAAGAAGGAGATGGAGAGGAGCTAGTCTAAGACTGATTAAAAGGAACAACTCCTAAAGCAAGAGCATCCATTGTTGGGAGTAGTTAGCCTAGGTTGGTTGGTTTCTGAAATAAAACAGGGTCAACTCTAATTAACACTTGTGTAGAGACCACCTGGGGATCTCAAGACTGGGGAACCTAGTTTAGATCCCACCAAGAAGAATGTAGCAGAAGTCTATTTCAAATCTAGAATGAGGAATCTGGAAATCAAGTCTGATCTGAGAACATCTTTACTTGAAGGAAAAATGTTGGTTGTGAGTTTCAGGTTGGTAGATGTGGTGATAGTGAAAAGCTAAGGAGAAAAACACATAAAAGAAATTAATTGCTTTATGTTATCAATAGGGGGGAAATCATGCAAAAATCTGTCTGTTCTTTCCTGCTGTGTAAATAAAATGGAAGCTGGCTGAGAAAGAAGTGAGGAGATCCATCTGACTGGTAAATAATATAGAAGAAATATCCTTCCCCAAATCCTGAACTTCTGAATCTTTACTCTGGGAGGGAATTTAGTAAATTAAAATAAACAGAACTAAGGGAAGTGGTTAGAATTCAGTTTTACCAGCTAACTTTGCTCACAGTCTAGAGTTCAATCCTGATGGGCTTAAGATTGACTCAGCCTTTCATCCTTCCAAGGTTGGTAAAATAAGGATTGTTGGGGGCAATACGCTGACATTGTAAACTGCTTAGAGACTGCTGTAAAGCACTGTGGAGCGATATATAAGTCTAACTGCTATTGCTATTTATTGCCTTTGTTTGGTTAGTTGCAGAATTGGGATGATCTAGATGTGGTATTCAGCAGGTTCTGACCAGTTCTGGAGAGCCAGTAGCGGAAATTTTGAGTAATTCGGAGAACTGGCAAATACCAACTCTGATTGGAGATTTTACAGTATCCTTCCCCTGCCACGCCCACTAAGCCACACCCACAGAAACGGTAGTAAAAAAAATTGAATCCCACCACTGAGGTGATTCAATTAAGTTTCTGCAGGGTATATAAAGCAAAATGATCAGTTTAATCATGTAGCCATGCTGCCATCTCCACTTCTCAAACTCTCCAACCAATCATATCAAGGAGGCAGAGACAGGGCAGAGTCTGCTCTCCAGTATCTGATGTCTTTGTGATGGCTTAATCATCAACTTTCCTCAGTCTGATTCCTTTTGAATCTTCTTGATAACTAATCCATTTAACTTCTTGTGATGCTTGCCATAAAGGAGAAAGGCTGACATTTAAAAGATTAGCACAAATAATCACTTAAGCTCCTCAATTGAAAGCAACATCCAGGCTGTTCTGACCTGAAGGTTCGCTGGAAGATTCTGACTCTGATAGTTTAGATGTGAGGGCAAAGATATGAATGGATTGGCAGGAGAAAGTATTATTTATTTAAATATATGCAACATGTGACTGAAATCCAATTCAATTGTATTACAGGGGATGTATTCAGGTACACATAGAGAAACTAAGTGTCCCTGCAGCTACTCCTTATTAACCACTAAAATGAAACCTTTAGATGTAGCAAAGTTTAACTCCCTTCACCTACAAACAGCACTATTCTGGTTTTCAAGGGAGAAAGAGGACAGAAGGATTCTCACTTTCCTGCTTTTTGTAGATTCTCCTCATCTTATCTCCAAGTAAGCATCTTCCCAGAGGCCAAGGATCTTGGGAAACAAGCCATCCCCATATCATAACTTGACACAGTGGTGGGGCTGTCACTGTTCAGCAGATGTTGAGGTTTTGAAGGACTGCTAGAGCCATGTTCAAAAGGAGAAGTGGAGTCTACTGGTCGCTGAAAACACTGAACCTCCTCAAAACAACTGAATGCAGGAGCAACTCTGCCTAAGTTTCAGTAATGGAGGGCTTCTCTTGTGCCTTAGCTGCGCTGGAATGAATTTCAATTGCATAAAAATTATCTTTAACACATAGCACAAAAGTTGTTCCCAAGAGATTCCCAAGAAGCAGAAACAATATTTTACTTTAAAAAACAACAACAGCCAACACTTTTTTATAAAAGCATCCCGAGTGAACTCATTCCATTAAATTATTCCGTTTAAAGGAAACCAAGAGCTTCAAGGCTTTTAAATCCTTTGTTGGTCTAACCCAAATTATAATTTCACGAATTGCTTTATTCTATCACAAAGCTATACTTATTAGACATTTAGTGGTGACACTAAGAGCCAAAGGATAGTGCTGAGGGTTTTCTGTATCTTGAGCCAAGTGCAATACTATACCCTCTTAACTAGCTTCCCTTCCTTTCCGTTTTCTCTTCGGTTCCCTAGGT